TTTTCATTCGAGACCTAGGAATTTGATATTTGATCAGCGACAAATTCTCCGAACACATCCTACAACAAGTAGCGAAAGCAAAGCAACTAACAAGCCATGTCCTCAGGTTAATTTCCTTATCTTAAGCACCACTGGAATTGTCTAACGGTGGATTTCAGTTTCTCTACTAGGAAGGGAGATGTCTGTACATGTGGGTTTTGGCTTGTAGTTTCGACAATGTGTTATCATTGTTTCAGTACTTGGCCCCTTCTCTTCAGTTTCTACTTTAGCGATGAGCTGGAAGTGCAGATAACCTGAAATGTTGGCTCACAGTAAACGAACCGACTGGTCCACTGACATTACAAGTGACTCTGGACAGATTTTGGGACTGGTCCCTTTCTGTCAGTTGCCTTTGAACCTCGTGAAATTTCCAGTTCTACGCGTAGGACTACAGGACCCACCAACGCGTTAGTTGCTTGGTGGCTACGAAGTGTCACGTGTGAACTTCCAAGCTAAGCTAGAAGGGTTGCTGTCACGTGAATTTAAGTCTAGCAATCTTTGGGCGGCGGCTGCTCGCAAAGCGTTAGCATGTTGAGACTGATCCGGAGATCGTTTGGGGTTATGACGATTAAGATGTTCGTTGGACGATTTTCGGCTTCCGTAAGGCCGGGCTTGGTATACTGTGTACAGGCTTGGCCCCCATGCATCGTATTTGACAGGATGGCATTTGAAAAGGTCTTGCGGTCTGGGACGAAATTGGTGCATGGACTAAAAAGGGGGACGTACTCTGAGAGACTGCGTAACTTGGATAAGTTTTCTATGCATAGCAAGCGACTTCGTGAAGGATTGTTCCTCAAGTATCGCATAACGCTAGGTCATATTGGTCCTGATTTACATGGACTACTTCACCCAACATGAGTACCAACCATACGTAGTGCCCACAGCAGTAGCACAAACCCCGATCTGACGGGGTTTAGGCCTCTTTGCGGTTATCGCGTAGGGTTATGTCACTGGAACGGGCTGCACGCAGAAACTGTAATGGCGCCGATCGTGAAAGTGTTTGAACATGGACTTGACGCCCTCGGTTGGCAGGTTAAAATATTTTCAGCATGCTTTAAGATTTACTCGCCTCTTACGCTTACTTCTTCTAAACACATTTTCACTTGCATTCAACATTACTTATGTAATTTGGTACGCTGGTCTGTACCCTTATTTCCTTTCCTTCTCTTTTGGTTACGTGATCGACACGGCAGAGATTGCAAGTGTGTGGCACGTGGGCACTTTCTGGTTGAAGATGTAAACCATGCGTGTTGAGCTGGTTCTCCTGTAACAGGTAAATCCACCGCATTCCTTGTTGGCTCGACGATGTTTTGAAGGCAGAACATCCGCAGGACCTTCCTATTGTTCCGGACACAATTGAACTTGTACTTGACTTGAATCACTAAGCTGCGGAAAACAATTCCCCTTCGAAGATTTGGCTTCTGCTAGTTTGAGTTTTCTATATCAAAACGCCAAACCGCTATGATATCCGGGTGCATAGATAGTGTCAAAAGCCACACCTGCACAAAACTGTTCATTGCGATTTGTGCAAAACGCGGTTGCACACCTCGTGCTGTAACATCAAAGAGGCCCTTAGCTATGTCTTTACGCACTACCTCTGAGATCGTGAGCTCCAATTGTGGCGCTTGTCGAGTACTAGCGAATGGCAAACGCTTTCTGGCTAACCCGCAAACTCTTAATATATGTGGCCCTACGGACCTAACCGTGTAAAATATGGAAGATGAGCCACCCGCATCAACGAGATACCTTCCTGCATCTGGGTCTGCCACACTCACACCAAGCCGGAGCCGCACCCTCTCCGCTACGTCGGTGGAGTCAGTACCTCTCAGTAAGATGAAACGTCGACCAGACACCGAGGTCAAGACGTATGCTGCCGGGGCGAGCGCCAAAGCTCTAACAACTATCAGCCTGTACCCAGCTGCAAGCAAGCCACCACGGAAGCGTGTCTCTAAGTCCAAGGCGCAACGCAACACCTGGGATACAGCTCCCCTAGTGTAGGAAGATGTGGCATAAGGTGACCCATCGTGTAAAAGAGAATCGGTCCCATTGGGCGGATCGCAGTAGAATGCCTAATTTCGCATAATCCATGTCGCGAAACGACCGTAAATGAGCTTCATGCTGTCAAAGCAAGAAGTCACTTGTTAGTGGGAACAGTTCAGGCATCATCATATTATGGTCACTACCCGGCAGACTGTTTGTTGTTTCAGCGTTCCCCGTGGTACCCAGATAGTAACCATAAGGTCGAGTATGTTGGAATTTCTGGTAGACGTTAAAACATGCTGGCACCAGCCGAGGGAATGTTGGTAAAGACAAACTGAAGAATCTTGGGTGGCGAAGTTTGTGGGTGCCAATCAACATCGGTCATATTATGGTCGCCCGCGACTTAACTGAGTGTAGCGATGCCAGAAGAAACAAGCTTGAAAACCTGCTGACAGCAGAGCTGTTGTAGTGTGGACGGAAGTTTGCGCACCCAAAAGGAGGCTTTGTTTAATTAATTCAGCGGTAATCCTGAGCAAGCTTGAGTGCCGTTCGAGCATTGGCTAGGTAACAAGTTGTGTACTGAGTGATGCGTTAGTGTAGAAAATGCATCCGCCAACTCTAAATTCTGGCAGCCGGTTGCGTGGCCGTTAGATCCGAAGTGGTGGTAATGGAGTTGTGTGTTGAGTCGCTTAGCCAAGTTTTCGTGACGAGGATTGTCTGACGGTTGATAAAATAGGCAAACAGTCGAAGTAAATACATCTTACTAGTATTAGATCAAGCGTTTAGAAGTACGGATATATTTTCTGAAGCACTGGGGTAGTTGTTATTAGCCTGAAGCTGGATGGAAAAGCGAAGTTGGTTATGAAGGGGAAACAGAGTGGGTAAGTTGTTTCTCCATAGGAGCCTGCAGATGTGACATACGGAAATGTTAACAAAGCTGCGGCAATTGAGGCTGCAATGGAGGCGGCGGGAATGCTGCCGGGTTCCAGAAAATGGTCGAGTGCATCTGGGTGTGGAGTGCGGTTTTGACGCATGAGTCAGCATATCGGGGAGTTCTTACAAAGGGCGAGTGAACATGCTGTGCCGTGAGACCAATATGTGCGGTGTATGAATAGAAGCATTTGGTAGGATACAGAGCGGTGGCATAGTTTGGGACCTGCTTACTCTATGGTTACTTAGTTTTAATAGGATCAGGGTTATAGAATTGCTCATATTTACAAATAACTTCTTTGAAAAATAGGTACGGGAGTTAAGCACTCCTGAGAGCGACACCGGATGGTCACCCTAACGGGGGAACGTCCATTATTCATCCGCTCCTTGATTTAAATCCCTGTGGAAATCGAAAACCTTTCTCCCTATTTTGGGATATGCTGACAGCCTTCTAAGTGATCAGACTTACAGCGCAACGTATAAAAAGTTGTGCGGATGGATTTCTACTATTTTGAGTAAACAATGTGATTTTTCAGTATGCGGTTTCCTTCCGCTTTTAGGAAAAATCGGTGAGTGAGAAACAACGTTTTAAAGCTTGGGAAGTATGGTTTGCAAACGCAAAATTTGGTCGAAGCATCTTGTTACATGCGCCTGTTTGAATGCTTTGATATTTGCATTTTGTATTCAACCAAGATATATTTATTAGAAGTGCAGACTAGTAGGCACTGCAAAGAATGCATGCAATAAATGGGAATGCAACCACCTCCTACAACGTAGCAGCTAGTAAGCTTGTGTCACGTATTTCCACCGGTAACATTGATACCTTCAAGCTTTGTTTGACAGACAATTCCGTTCGCAGACATCTCGACACGCCTTCCGGAATAATCTGAAACTTAGTAGTAGCATTTGTAGGGTAGTTTTGTGTAAGTACACAGGATATTCTCCGGGGTTTTAGCATGCGTGTAACGAGCCTTGTGTACTTCGCACTGACTGGTAATTGGCTCCATTCACCACTGGTCCACATTGCTTGATGCTGATTAGTAACTTGTAAAGTAAAACACCAAGGCAACGTGGTACGTTTCATGGTTTGCTCTCAATTCAAGCAGCATAATTAGGGCCTACCTTTTGGAATGCGAATTAGTAAAAATGTGTGCAGTGTGCACTGTGGGTAAAGCCGTCGTGGATAAGCTGTGTTTGGGACGTTGTACCAGTTCCGTAGCTGGACTTTGGCGCGAACAGGTTTATCGTAAGGACGCTTACTTGCGCAAACCTCTAATGGGCTAACATGTCAATAGCCAATGAATAGTTGGCAAAATGTACGTAAAGCACGTGACCGTTATCCACTGCCTCCGCCCAACGTTTACCAGCTACCAACTGATTCGTCGGACACAAAATTTTTCCGACATCCGTGTTGGGCATTGATATGTTGAAGTAATCTACTGCCATCACGCTCCAATAAAACTCTTACTACTTAGCAACTAAATGTCCTGTAATACGCAAGCAGACTCCTGTTCCCATCTTTAAAAAATGGAAATTACTTAACAAGTGAAAATTACTTGCATGTAAGCTTCTCTTAAAATGGTCAAAGGTGGACTTTATTATGTTCCTACAATGTGGAATTTAATTTTGTTTATAAATTTATTTTGACTTTTGTCACTTCATTAAAGTCGTCCCATTAATTTAAGCTACTTTTTCTACATCTTCACTACCTCCATTCTTGCCATATATCTATTGTAACGCGTCGGAGTATCTTCGTAGCAGGCCAACAGGTAAGCTGTCGCCGAGAGCAGCCTTTATTGTGCCTGCCTGTTCCTCTTCTCTTTGCCACCCAAGTTTGCCTTCAATACCGTTGGATCCGTCATCTTCCATGCCTTTTCACACCCAGTCCTTCATCAGCCGCTAACAATGCCGTCCAGTTCGTCACAAGTTGCAACCCAGGCACACCTTTCCATTCTGCTTCTACTCCTACTAGATGGTTGTCCCGGCACCTACGCAATTGCGCTTTTGTCTCTCAGCACCACTGGTCAACTACAACTCACTTGCGCCCTGGAATGATTAGCACTCCGAACCTCAAAAGGACGCATACTGCCTCCATCATTGAACGTCCGGCTGATACTGAGCAACTTCAATTTAAGATATTCCCTCCAGTCCGTGTGGTACGGGTTACCGACTACACGCTCAAACATGTCAAGTTAACAACTAGGATGCTACCAAAACTATTGTTACTCATAAATAAATCCCCAGCATTTTGTATATCTCTACCTGTCCAAATCTACGACGTTGCGTTTTGAAAAATATGGTTAGACAAATATAACATTTCATTTGTTACTAATTTGCCTCAGTGGAACATCTACAGTTGAACACATTAATTGAGCTCATTGAGTGGTAGTGAGCAAAAGAGCGTTCTAGTGTCAGCTCCAAAAACCTCCTCCCTTCTAACACATCGTCACGTTGTTCTTGGCGATGCGTAAGCAATTCGAAGAGAATGGTGGATCCAAGTGGCATTCGGTGTACTCGCCGTGTGGTTGGATTGCGACTCGCAATCTCTATTCAGACCTCGGTCCTAAGTGGACCTCAGGCCTTACGATCACAAGGACCGTAACCGAATTGGTGGTTCGGTGTTGCTTCTCCCAAACCTGAGACCCCATGACCGGTTTCGTCTTCATTTGGACTCATCAGACGGAGATACCCTGAGCTGGGTTGGACCTCGAGATATAGTATTCATTGTTTGACGCCCTGACCACTATGGCTCCTAGGTCCGCGAGCAACTTTTGGCACAGCGGTAACGTGTTCCACGTGGCATTTGGTGTACTCGCCGTGTGGTTGGATTGTGACTCGCAGTCTCTATTCAGACCTCGGTCCTAAGTGGACCTCGGTCATTACCATCACATGGACCGTAACCGAATTATTGTTTGCGGACCTAGGAGGCATAGAGGTCAGGGCGTCAACCTTTGAACACTATACCTCGAGGTCCAGCCGAACTCAGGGTATCTCCATCTGATGAGTCCAAAGGAAGACGAAACCGGTCATGGGGTCTCAGGTTTGGGAGGAGCAACACCGAACCACCAAGGATGGTGGATCCTTAAGATTTCGATTGACAGATAAACCACCAAGTTACGTACAGTGCTGTTGAAAACTCAAACACTACCCAATAAAGAAAAAATATAAATTGATCTTTTATTTGGGTTGTTAGACACTAACACATGATGCGTGTTTGTTTGTATTGCTTCCATACGCACTTTGAGTGGTACCACGTACCTCATTTACCGTTTTCTGTCAGACACACGTGTGCGTCGCTGCGTCATTCCGTCCCCTTACAATTTGAATGGCTCACGTACTAAGCCGCAATGTGTTGTTTATTTTTCCATATCCTGGCACCGTAGCTTTGCAAAGCGTCCTCGAAGAACCAATGCTCTACTACACGCCTAGAAGACGCACGGTGTGATATTGACGTACAAATACTAGCGCTAATCTCTTCGGTGTAAAGTAATATCCTCAAAGAGAAATAGCGCTACCAGTTCACATGGAGATTTACCTACATGTTGTTTGTACCAATGGGACTTGGTTCTTTAGAAAACGGAAATGGAGTATAACGGGTGATGCTGTGCACCCTACCTCGGATGTTGCAGGGACTCCGTTAGAGAGATAGAGTGTTCTATAAGCACAATCTTCTTTCCGGGGGACCATATTGCAGTCTGGCTGGATGACATGGTTTCTCGAATTTCCTGGCAGTGAGCAGTATAGATGTTTCGAAGCTCTAACTTCGGTTCTGTCAGCGGATTGTTCAATTCATCCTTACCGTCTCTGCATTAGATGCTTTGCTTTCCTTCCTGCGGCTGTTTCAACCCGGTTTACCGAAATACAATAGGACCCTTTTAGCCCTACAGTGTTTCAAAGTAAGCAACAACAAGGGTCCAGTGATGTACGCTCACCTTCGCTTAGAAAACGCTCTGACGACAGATTCGCGAAACAAAATAATTGTGCTAGTAGTAGATGGCCGTTCCATCTCTAATAACCAACGAAAAAAATAAATAAATAAAGTCGTTATTCTCGACAAGGCGAAACACTCCTTTACAGGCATGGTCACTTTAGCAAAACAATGCGCGCTCAGGAATTTCAAAATCTGACATGCTTGCCATAGAAGTGTATGTTAGTTTAGGCATGTATATACTTATGTAGCTTTGCGTGTGTATGTAGGTGTGTACTTTGTGCATTAATCATGCTGTTCCATTCTTGAATGTTCTATATCGTCCATAATATGCAAGTAGAAGATTGGTGTCCGTGGGTTGGCAAGGCTTATCCAAATATCCACGGGGTGGTGCCTTTATTTTGTGGTGAATCACGAACACCAGCTCACAATGTTATTAAGCAGACGTTTGGGGCTAAATATATAAGGAGAACGCTTGCCAATCGGAAATCCCACTACCTCCTGGAACAGTGTACGGAAGTACATGGAACAAAGCACTATCACGGGAATTTTACGTTTAAATAAATAAATAAATTCTTTATTCTCGAGCAATGGAGGCACGCTTATGCAGGCGCAATCATGTTAAAATTACAAGTATAGGTCGGGAATGTATAAAAATGATGAATATTGGTCATGAGCTTTGGAACCGTGAGTTCTCACAGGTATGTGGAGGTGCCAGTGGCTTTCCGTTATTTGACGGGTATATGTGCAGCTGCAATTGTGACTGTGAGAAGGGTTGGTTGACGCCCGTGGTGGGGTGTGTTTAGTTAAGTGATCCTGAAGCCGTAACTTTAGTAGACGTGTCACCACCGCATCGTCCCAGAGCTGTTGAACAGACATTAGTAGCGTTTTATAGAGAGAGCACTTGTCAGAAGAAAATTCACCACATCCTGGATCACTGTCGTAAAATATTTGCTGGAACGGGTTAGACCCAAACTACTCAGCTGGGGTCAAGCGGAAGTCACATTGCGTTGTCGAATGAGCAGCCTGAGCTTGCTGACAAGCCATATGCGAGTAATTAGACGCTTGACAGGCGGGACCACAAGTTAGATAGTTATGGATTGATGCAGGTATGTTGTGGTAATCATTTGCTTTAAGGGCACGTTCCGTAGGCAGGTCATGGATGTTTTAACCTCCTGGCCAAGTTCACCCAGATCTAATTGACCAAGGTTAGTAGACCAAGAATGAGGTAAGTGAGTTGGAGGTCTGCTGTGATCTCCTTGGCATTTGTAGGTTCATTCCTTTGCAGAATCGTCGGCCAGTTGGGATCCTTGGTAAGTTCCAGTTGATGTCCTCAGACATCATGGAGGAGAAGATAAAAAACGGTAAGCAGCAGATACAAACAACGAAACCGGTGACATCATACAGTGGGAATGTTTACGTCCTATATGTTACAAAATGATGACAATGATACCTGAGGAGCTAAGCTTATATTCTGTATTTTGTGTTCCGCTACCGTATAAAAATGTATGGGAATGAAGGTTGCGCTATACCAAGGAGCAGGTGTGAGAGGAAGAATGAGGACAATAGGAAGACGGTGGCAAGCGATGGTCAAAACGAAAAGCTGAATAAAGAGGCCAGATTATGGGATAAATTTGTTTATAATAGTTGCCCAGAAGTTATGCTTATACGGTGATTGGTGTCTACAGAAAATAGATATAAAAAGCCGGCAAGTTACTACATAAAGATAGAAGTGAGAAACAAGAATGCAAGCACACTTTAATACCCAGCGCCGGCAACAACGTTCTGAGGAGGAGCACCTGAGTTTGGAAAGGTAGACAAAAGGTGTCATGTTGATAGGGATAGTGTAGCGCTTAGAACGCAATAGTCCCAGATCAGACAAAAGTTTTAATAAGCAAGTTATACTGGGCTAAGCCAGGTCGACATGCACAGATCCATAGGTCAGAGGGAGCCGGAACAAAGGCAACAGTAATCAAGCAAGTTAGCACGGGCTCAAGTTGATAGGGCTTGGAAATGTAATGTGCAACAGACTTATACAGGCAAAGGGTAAAAAGAACCGAGATGTAGTCCGATGTAAACCAGGCTTTTAAGCCTCAGTAATCTAAGCGAGGTAAGAAAACCGCAATGACAAGTAATGCGATGTGAGACAAATGCAGCAAGCAGACAACAGACAAGCCAGATGATATGAGAGTTGGATTAAATGGCTCAAAACAATAAGCGTATCACCTGATTAAAATGGCTATAGCGAAAGGGTGAAGGAGCAACCATCAAAATACGGAAAGATAAAAGACCAGTGGAGGCGTCAAACCTAAGTCAGTATACCTCAGTCGCCTAGAAGCTGCCAGAAAACAGGTAAGGCAGCTCAAGCGAGACTGGATTAGGTAGAAAGAAGAGGCTATGCTGCCCAGCAGAAGGGTGTGATAACTGAGGAAACAAGCAGTGATTAAAGATAAAAAGTTGTGACAAAGTTTGGGAAAAGCCACCTAAAATGATAAGAGAGAAGAAAGGTGTGCTGAATCAGCTAAAACTGACGCCTTTAGGTCTCATTATTATCAGGGCAGTCATGAGGCAGGGGAAGCAGGTCATACCGAGTTTTTCCAAAGCGACTTGTACAGCTTCATAAAATCAAGGTGAGGTGGGATCAAAAATAGCGTAATCAGGTAGGTTAACGTAGGCTCAGGATGATAGGGCTTGGAACGGCAGCGCTAACGAGACTTATCCAGGTAAAGGTTAAAACAACCATTAGTGAACCTGCTTTAAACCAAGCTTTAGGCCTCAGTGGTCAAGAGACTAAAGGAAACAGAAAAGCCGGTTGAGGCAAAGCGGAACGAACGCGTCAGGCAAAATGCAAGCTAGATGAAGGGAGATTTGGGTAACTTCCTCACAAAAATAAGCGTATCATCATATTGAGACGGCTTTAGGGAAAAGGTGAAGAGGAGCAACAATCATGGCAGGGGAGGACAAAAGTTCAGTGGAAGTGTCAAACATGAGCCAGTCTACTTCAGTCGCCCAACAACTGCCAAAAAACAGACGAGACAACTCAGGCTAGACGAGATTAGACAGCAAGAAGAGACTATGCGGCTCAGCAGACGTGGGGATGAGAATTGTGGAAGCAAGCAGCGATTTAAGACACAAAATCGGAGACAAGATGTAGGAAAAGCCACCTAAAAAGATAAGAGACAATAGATGTAATGGATAAACCGTCACTGGGCTAATCCAAGGTAGCGTGCATAGCTTCATAAGTTTGGGGTGAGTCGGAATCAAGCAACGTGCAAGCAGGCAGGTTAGCATAGGCTCATGAAACTAGTGCTTGGAATGGTAGAGTGAAAGTGCCCCAGCGTAGTTAAGAGAAATAAAAATTAGCACCGCTGAGTCTGCTGTAAACCAGGCTTTTAGGCCTTAATGGTCAAAGCGAGGTAAGGAAACAGAAAACACTGGTAAGATAATGCGAGACGAACGCGTCACGCAAACTACAAGCGAGCCAGATGGGGTGAGATTTAGACAAAGGGCTCAAAGAAATAAACATATCATCGGATTGAAATGGTTTAGCGGAATAGTTAAAAGGAGCAACAAACAAAGCGGGGAAGCTAAAAGATCATCGAGCGTGCCAAACATGAGTCAGTATGCCTCAGTCGCCTAGCAGCTTCCAGAAAACAGGCGAAACTGCTCTGGGTTGCCAATGGAAATAGATTGGAACGTTGCTGCATGGTGGTCATTGTAATCGTTAATAAGACAGCCACCTTTACGTTGATTGGCATGTCCATTGCAGAACATTGTGTAACCTAGAATGTGCAGCAGCGCATCAAAGGCGTCAGGTTGATGGCAAGTTTGTAATAAGTACAACATGCGGACTGGGCAACAGAATGAAAGGTCTTAGAAGGTGCATTTTATGTTTGATTGATCGCGCGTTGATGTGGAAGACTCTAGATAAGACTTTATGTGGCACAACTGAATTTGCGGTCAAGATGCACTTCATCCTAGCAGGGGTAGCTGTGCCAGATCAGAAGGTAGCTCCGTTATGAGGTGATGAATGAGGGCGATGGTCGAGGGTGTATTGAGCAAGACGTCCATACGTAGAATGTTGAAGTTTTATCAACGGTGTCTGCGGAAGGCAAGCATGTAGTTAACTCCCTGTAGAAGGTGTAATAGTTGTGATATATGGAGTTGCATAAGTCGGTGGTAATGAAACAGGCCGTGTCCTGTGTTGCTGCATATAAAAAGGGTTGGATTCAAAGGGGTTGAGTTGAATTGCTCTGGCTGAGCTGTGCAGTTGGTCCGGTTTGTACCATCTACCTGTGTAGGCGATAGCTTACCAGGTGGATAACTTGCCATATTAGATATTGGGAAAATCACTTCATTGAAGCCAAGCGGGCTGCTCGCGGTTCCATTTGGATTCCGTGACCGTTGCAACGTCTTCCTTTGGCGGAAACTGAAGTGATTGTCATAGTTCAAAGTTATGAAGGCTATGTTGGCGCCTCCAGTCGGTACGGCTTTCGCAGTGCTTGAGCAGATAGGGTCAAAACCGGCATGGCAGGCGGTGTTTGTTATCGAGATTATTTCAGCCTCATGCGGTCCATGTACTTATCAGTTGTCCGCTTATGTGACATGCACGTTGCTTGGATGCAATTACCACCGCTACGGTGATGCACCAACAAGGGGCGTTAGGTAATAGTGGCGTGTCTTGTTTCGGAGGTTGGTCTTTTATCGAAGTCGGTTGCGCAGCGAGAGTGGTTTCCACTTTGCAGGAGTCAGAGGGAAGCGTGTTCAGCAGCAAGTAGTCCACATTGGTCAGCTTGGAATCGGTGTCACTCATATCGGCAACGTTATGTAGTAGTGTTTATTGGCTCAGCTTCGGGCCTCCTTTGTTGGGACAAAGCAGAAAGGTTAGGGCTAGAGTACTATAATACTATAGGACGATAAAACTATAGGACTTGAATCAGAACGCAGCACCATCGTGGAGGTTGACACAAGCGGGTAGGGTCTAGATAACCATTAGTGCTTGAAGTAGAACAATCGGTAACCCTGGTGATCGGAGAAGAAATGGCATGACGCTTGTCTTGTTTTGGCATTGGTGTCAGGTACATAAGCCCTTTACAGCGGCGTTAGATTAGGTTTGAAATGCATAGACCCAAGATTTGCCGTTGCTCTTAAGGCAAAGCTAGTTTCTGTAAAGCGTGTAGCCAGTTTTTCAGTTGTTAAGGATCGAAGAACTGGGCAGTTACGACCGATCTTTTAGTTTCTAAGTTATTTACGCACGCACGTCTCAAGCGGGATGTTACACGTGATCGCTAGTAAATGGGAGACCTCCATAGGAATTCTGTCAGGCAGGTTGAAGGTGATCAGTTATCGAGTATGACAGGCAAGCACATTTATCTCACTGGCAATAGTAGTAAGAAGCACACCAGCGTCTTTGTTCCAGTCGATGTTGCCATTTTTCGTATGTCAGCGAGTTGAGCCGATCATATTTTCTCTTACATTCCATTTTTGTTAGCCTTTACTGAACAGCACAGTTTCAAACTTCGTGTTCCAGAAACACTAGTTTGCAGTATATTTGATCTAAAACCTAAAGTATAGCAGGCCGAACTATCGAGGTATTGCGTCAAAGGTCACGGTGTTTGGCTCAAAGTCAAGGTGTATATAATCAGTGCTTAAGAATTGTTTTGCGTAGCCGTGCTTTGTTGTACTTTCTGCAATATTCTAGCCTCAGAACAGGAAGTTCTTTTATTCTGAGACTTACTAAGTTTTAATATTAGCGCTAGAGACTTGCGTTAGCGCAAGAGCCTGCATATATTTAAGGTTAATTTGTATTTTTATAGTTGAATACACCGCCATAGCATGTCTCAGCAAAATAACTGTTTTAGCAGTATTTGAATTTCTAGAATTAATTTTTAACCTTTTTCTATTCCTTCTAATGTCGTCGCTCTTATTTATTTCTATACACCCAATATTAAAGGAGACAAATGAGCCTGCCGAAGCATTCCAGAGAAATTATAGTAAAGTTCGGGTTGAAGTGGATCCTGCTTCTATAGCAAACGTGCACAAACACGGCTCTGCGTGGCTTTCCGCCACATATAAATCAAGGGTTACAAATATCACACGAAAGAGCCAGGTGAGCTTTACGGCGGTTGTGTACAGACAATTCAAATGTTCACGTAACTATCTCTGCGTTCGCGACTGCAAACATGGAACATATACGCTCACTGTTCATACTCCAATGCAAGAGCAGGGGATTTGTGCCATTATTGATCTGGTCACTTGTGAGCACAGCATTTTGCAAGTCCAGAAATATACCCTTATTTACTTACTCATAAGCTGGAGAATATTACGTTTGCATAGTAATTATTAAATCCGCTACAAGTAAATGATTGTCCAAACTTTTTAACTACCCATACAAACATGGCCCATTATTGGTCGACCACTTTCCCAAAATCCGCCTCCTAGATTTGGTAAAGATCTACTGTAGTGATGGTGAGCAGCCTAATATGAATGTTTTTTAGTCTGGTGGTATCGGACTTAAAGGAATTGCATGATAGAGGCATGACGTTCCACGGAAACACTATTGTTAATAACATCTCTTTTTCAGCAATAACTTGCGATGCACAATCTAGTATAATCGTGAAGAGAACTAAGACAACATCAAGGCCCCACAGATGTGACAAGTGTTATCAGAGTGGCGTCTACCTTATGCCTGAAGTCACTTTTCTTAAGACCACTTGCCGGGCACCTACTATCAAGGAATTCCGAGCTGTTAAAAGGACGCAGTTGACTGCCTTCGAAAGCCTGTTGGTAACATGATCCATGCATTCCTCATTGGTTTTAAGCAGGTCGTGGGCCTTATTGAACTGCGTCGGAAGTTATCATAATGATGTACCACACAACGGGCGAAGCGATGTAGGTAAAAATGGGATAACATTGTGTAGCTGGGTACCGCTCTTGAAAGCAATCGTTTCTGTCGTACACGGGATTTCAACAGGCGTTCCAGGGGGTAAACCTTTACTGTCACTGGAAAGAAAAGGAATTCCAGTAGTTCCATTTATATGCCGGACCTGCTGTTCTGCAACATATGCTACATCCTGATTACTATAAAAGCCATAGATTTACACTTGACGGTACATATATTATGCCATCCAACATTGCACCTACCACAGTGGCCTTCGCAGGATCTTTCTCCAAGTTATTTGTAGTGTGAACTTTAAAATGTATGGGACTGAAAAAATGACGTTCCACTTCCATAGGCTCACGCATCTGATTCACGAAGTTACGCACATGAAGCTTTTGATAATTTCTTTGCATTTTCATTTAAATCGCATTTATGTCTACCATAATCCGTGCAAAGGAATGCTAACGTTCCTCCGGTGCACTGCTGCAACGCTCCATAAAGAGGACAAACTTGAAGACATCCCCGCCTGCTGCGACAAACTACGCTCCGGATAAGCATTTAGTCGTGCTTACTAGGAAGCATGATAACGTACGCAGTGGTGCCACCTACTCCTAGGTGTGTCCCGACAACTTGGTCAATTTGCACGGCAAACGTACCGCATCTGTTTTGTTCTTTTGCCTGGGTGTTACACTAGTTATACACTTTGTCAGCCATTTGACAGTTTGTTCGAGGTGTATGACCAGGGAACAAAGTCAAGTGAAATACGCCCGTTCATTGCCACTAGCATGAAGGAGGGTCTAGTGCATGTATCCGCCGATGACATTGACTGTACGTGCATTGAACTGAAAGCTAGTGATTGCTCATTTATCAAACCGTTGCTGCACAGGTTTCAAGTGATATCTTAGACAGCTGCATTGCAACTGTTCACCATGCAGAATACTGGCGCACAGATCCAGACATTCAGTAGGGTTACGGTGGGGCGCATTTAAATTTACGTTTGTGGATGGCCCGACGTAACTAAATAAATAAATAAATAGTATATCCTGGAATTTGTCGAGATACACCAAACCAGGCATGATCAACATTTACATGCAATCACGTTTCGCAACAAACATGCTGCTATGTATATAATCGGCAGTAAGCCGAAAGTTGTACAGGCCTTGGGAATTGAAAAATTAATCAAGAGGAATAAAGTCGTCAATGCATGACGACACGATGGGTTTTAGCGTGCATAGTGTAAACAGTCTGGGCATTATATGTGTAGTGAAAACGACACATGTAGGCAGGGAGTATCTTACTCTTGCGCTTCTCAGAGCATTTACTGCAGCACCGCGATTGCCGTGTGATGCTTTTGCATGTCCTAGGTAAGCAACATAGTTCTTCAGCATAAATTATACATGTACTCTAGAAATCCAACAAACTGTGCTTAAGTTACAGAAGTAAACTCTTGACAGCGTGGACGTGTTGGCAGACTTATTGCGCCAGGCAACGGCATTCTTGCGAGCATTTCTGGCACTACCGGTTGCAACAACAGAAGAACTTTGCTCTTTGGAACCTTAGTTGCTAAACAAGGAAGAAAAGCAGCAACTGGTAGGTATTTCGTTGAATCGACAGCAAGCAATTCAGCTTAAGTACGTTTGCAACATACACGAAACGAACACTGCGAGCAAAACGCGAAATATATTTCAAGTGCTTTGTCAAAGAACCCTGCTGAAAACACAACTTTTCCGGTGCAAGACAATGCCAAGCCTTCATAGGAACTACCGTTTACGCACATATACTTGATAAAATTCTATTCTACCTTCCTAACGGTGCTCAGGTTTTCTGCTTCCAAAAGTTGGCTAGGTTGAAAGTGCGCAAGCTGATGTCATAACTGCAAGAAAAGTTTCCTTCACAATATGCGTCACAGATATACAGGAATGAACCGCTTGCTACCCGCAATGAGTGCGATGTGATGTTTTCGTTTGGTTTAACATTGACATCTTCGATTCCAGTGCCAGAGCTAATTAAACTTATTGTACCAGCTGAATAATCAGTTTTTTGTCATTTGAATTGCTACATATATATTTGATTGCACCTTATATAAACTAGTCCTCCTTAAAAGTTATTGCGCCGAATCAAGTGAGAAGCCTGCTATCCGAACTGGTTTTTGGCGCATTTAACGGGCGTTTGACTGAAGACCTCATTGCATGGTGATGACACGCAGGTATACTTATTATATCCTGCACAAAGGCCTACGAATAGCTTGGTGTATCTACTGCATTGTTTGCACAATGGATACATCAGGTTATTTAGGGCGGGTAAGCTAGGCGTGGCAGGAACAGCTTAGGGTCAAACAGGCGACATGCGGTTGGCATCGTATATAGTAGGCGTAGCGAAGCTTTTGGCGGACCGCGGTGTAGTCTTTCATCGTGAGTGGCCGGGTATCGCAAATGACTTTGACGCAATCCGCATACGCATTGGTGCCAAAAACTACATTGCGCTAAATGGGCACCTGCCGGGCAGTGGCCACCTTGTTTCAACGGTGTCTATCACACATCTCACTAATTGTAACTGGCGCTAAACCGTTGAAAGTTTAGTTACTATTGCTGGCATGGCTGTCTTCCAAGGATTGCCGGTGTGTTTATTTTGGTAACGCTCAGGAGGTAGCATCAAACCAGTAGGACCCTAGAGGGTTCAGTTGGGAGGTCTCAAACAAACGTTTGAAGCCTGCTTCTGAGTGGGCGATAACAATCGGGTCAAACGGTAGGTTACAGCTATTAATTACTCAAATTGAGACAGCAACGTCTACACAGACTGTGAACCTGCTCGATTGGAACATCTTACTGCTGTGACGTCAGATTTAACTGCCAAGCACCAGCTGATAGATGGTCTCAGCTCATTTACCAACCCTCATCGAAGAACACGTCTAGTATAGATGGGGTATCCGCGACGTCGGCGATGGCGTAAGGTGAAGGTTTTATCCTCTCGGGTCGTGTGAGACACGGGTGTTCGCGCAGCCCATGGACAAATATCGCGGTACGTCTCTGAACGTTTTCCAGCTTCTTACTTTGAAGCTTCTATAATATGCTACGGCTGGAAGTACGACTGCAAGGATGGGACGGATATGGGAGTGGAAGAGAGGGCTGAAGCGCTGCGGGTATATTCTAAAGAATGATCACCTATATTACTTCACTTCCGGCAAGCTGTAGCCGTTTTCTTTAATGTGCCACGGGTAGTTATGACGTCGGTGGATACAATTGTCGCTAGATCATTATCCTGAGTGTCAGTCTTGAATAAATGCCCGACATTGTGTTAAATAACCTGTGGTTTAGCAACGACGTTGGGTACGATGGAGGAGCTATCATTGTTGACCCGCAGACCCGAGTTGGTAGACCAGACGTGCGGTAATTCAAGTGGTTCCTGTAATCGGTCGGAGCTTGTCACTTCTGACGACAGCTTGAGGCCTTCTGCATACCTCATAGAGTCCGTCTGTAGCACACTGCCTAAGTCATTGCTATGGGTCTCGAACAGTCCCTGTTCAAAGACGAAGTCTTGTGAAACACAACTGGCATGAGCACAGGAATGGAGAGGGCATCGTTTACCTTAGCTTGCAAGTTACAACCTCGCAAGCACACAGAGATTCATAGACACCCGTTTCCGGTTATGCCGATTTCGCAGAGCTTAGAGAGTAAGTATTTATAAGGGACCCAGTGAAGGTTTTGTTAAAGTCAATGAACACCACACCTAAGCGTTTTCCAGCATCCACTAACTTTGCCTACTTTACCCTGGCGCGTCCGCACACAAAGCGTGCTAAATGTAAACCAAAGTTAATACGCTTGTGGATGACGACATTGCCTTAGAAGCAAACGAGACGGTAATTATTAACAGTAGAAAAGGTGTGTCGCGAAGTTGGCATGGCGTGACACGCTTTTCCGTGGATGATCCAAAGCTACTTGCGCCATCTGTGCGCCCATTGTCCTAATGCTTTGAAAAGTTGTCCCAAGCTCCCATAGGTGACGCGTGAACGTCTACGCCTGGACATCCACGCTGGCAACCAAGATTTCCCCACGATTTATCCCTTACCTAAGCCCCCGCACTTATTTGTTGTCATTTTTCAAAGGAGTTCTAACAAGCCACACTAGGTGCTTACAACCTTTGGCATGTATAAAGGATATTATGCGGTCTGCAGCGCAACCATGCGCCCGCGTAATTTCCGCTATAGTATAGGCTCATACACGCACTTAACT